TGCTGCTCAAAGAAATCCGATCACACGAGACAAGAGCGCGTCCCGCGCCGTGCAACCCTAGACCTGCACAACAACACTGGGATTACAGGCGCATAGCACAGTCATTGGAGGTGGTCCGGCCGGAGGGAGGGGGTCCGGGGGGGGGGGGGGGGTCTCGCCTGGGAACATTTTGAAAGTAGGGTGCAAAATTCTGCATTCTGGGCACTTTTGGCATTGTGTTAAAAAAGTGGTCCGGCCGGACCGGCTGCTACGCCCCTGGATGAGAACCGGTGCAGGGCGCGTGAGAACGTGACTCTAGCGATTGCAATTCATTGAGCAGGACTGAAGTAAACAACGCTACTTCTGAGGACGGCAGTAGTTGTAGTGGATCTGGGTCCATATTTGTGTTAGAGTGTTTGACCTTTGTCTATGCATTAATCTACCCCACTGCCATTTATGTTTGACTGGTGACATCATGCATACTACGCACCTGCACCGTACGACCTTGCGGCATCATTCACACTGGCAACTCATGCTACTTGATCTATAGGTGTTATTCCAGTAATTAGTTAGTTGAAAACAGGACGAAGTTGAGTGTTGTTGTGTGTTTTAGATGACTGCGAAAGTCATTACAGTAGTAACCATGGTAACACTAATACTAATGTATTGTAGTAATCTTTAAAGGGGAAGTATACCCTAAAATCAAATTTTCACCAGTTGTAGTCTTCTGGGTGCTGAGTGGAATGGTCTTGGTCCGAGGAAGCTGCGACGCTCCCTTCCTTCTTTTTTCCCAATCGAACCCACACACTTCCACCGAAACTGGGTGACTGTGCCCTACTAGATGGGGATTTGTATGCAAAATCTCCCTAAAAGTGATATGTTGTTCTTATAAAAGCACGGATGACCGCGATTGGCCCATATGTTGTAGTCTTTTGGACGCTGAGTCGACTGGTTTTGGTCCGAAAAGGCTGCGATGCAGCGTTCCTCCTTTATTCCCAATCGAACATGGTTGAACAAGCGGTCACGTGCTCCTGGGTGCCCAAATCACCTGGTCATCGCGCCAGCAGGCGACAACTTTCACACCAAGGTTCAACTCGAGTTCAACTCGAGTGACAGGACTGCACCCAAAAAAGGTCAAACAGGCTAGTAAGTTGTACCCTGCAGGCACGGTGACCAGGTGACTGGTGTGTCACTCAATCGCAATGGGAAGGCGTCAATGCTGAAATTGCCGCAACTCACTGGAGTGACCTTTTATGCGGCCTTGATATTGATACAGCCGTTTCTAACTTCTCGTCTGTCCTCGAATCGTCTCTCTCAGTCTGCTCTTTTCACCGCGATCACCAGTCAACCACCAGAAACCGAAGCCGCCCTTCACGCCAGGATCCACCATGGATGACACCAGTGCTCAGGGCAGGCATTAAGAGAAAGCATGACCTCTACAGCATCTATAAAAAATACCCTACCCCGTCCAATGCAACGCAGTACAAACGTCAGCGGAATATAGCAAAAACGTTATCACGTGTAGCCCATAAAGAATACATCCAGTCCATTACTACTTCTCTCACCGACAGCCAGCGTCCATCACTTCACTCATTTATAAGAACTCTTCGTAAATCAGCATCGTCATTGGGCTCTAGTCCAACAGCAATCACACGGTCTGACCAAAGTTCCGCCACTGCGCCTCTTGATATTGCGGATGCTCTGAATGAGCAGTTTACCAGCTTCTGCGTTATGGAAAGACCTGAATGGTTAGTTCCTCCTATCCACCAAATACCTGTAGAGTCAACGTTTACATCGCTGACGATTTCATCCCGTACTGTCACCAGATACATACGCAGTCTCCCCAATAAGAAGTCTCCTGGTTACGATGGTATACCAAACGAAATCCTGAAACACCTCCAAGACAGCCTAGCATATCCGTTATCGCTGCTCTTTAACATCTCTCTGTCGTCTGGAATCTTTCCCTCCGCATGGAAATACGCATTAGTGGTCCCAATTTATAAGCGCAAAGGCTGCCGGTCGGATGCAACGAACTACAGACCCATCCCCCTACTGTGCTGTATTTCAAAGCTGTTTGAGCGCATTGTGTACGATCAGCTATATCGACACTTGTCCCCGTACTTGCATACCATGCAGTCTGGTTTCCGGCGAGGGGACTCCACAGCTCTGCACCTAGTCCACCTAATCCAAAACATCATGCAGTCCCGACATTTGAAAGAACATACTGGCACGTGCTTCTTTGACCTGGCGAAAGCCTTTGACACTGTTTGGCATAGAGGCCTGATTGCCAAGTTGGGTGCCTATGGCATTGGTGGCAACCTGCTTTGTTTCTTTGAAAGCTACCTAACTGACAGGTTACAGGCTGTACGCGTCGGCAACACCATCTCGTCTCCCCAGGCAATTAATTCTGGTGTGCCACAGGGGTCAATCCTGGGGCCACTATTCTTTTTAGTCTACGTCAATGATCTACCGATGTCTGTCCCTAATGTTTCACTGTTCGCCGATGACACCACAGTTTCCGCTTCAAGTAGTTGCAAGCAATTGCTAGTCAATGACCGCCAGAAAAAAGATAAACTCCACCATTTCTTGGATGTCGACTTGGAAGCTGAGACCGAACACTAGTAAGACCAAAGTGATGTTCTTCTGTAGCGGTGCTAGTGATCAGTTCTGTAATGTGTCTTTATCATGTCCTGGCAGCTCATCGACCATAGAAATTGTCCATGAACATTAGCACCTTGGTATAATTATTGACGACTGTCTAACATGGGCTCCTCATGTAGACTATATTTGCAAGAAAACTACTTCCTCCGCGTCATTAAAATTGTCGCTTCGCGTATCGCAATATTTGTGACTTGGCTCGTCTTAGTCAGACTTTCGGAATCGTTGTTTTCTGTATTTGAACACTGGTGTGACCCTTCCTGCGCAATGTCTACTTGTCACTGAAGCCGTGGTGGTGTCGAACTTTGTCGGAGCTCTCTTGCGCACCAAGCGGATTCATCGCGCTCCGCACTATTCCGCCCCAGAGCGCATTTCGTTTTCTGGAGTTCGTGCCGTCCCACATCGTTCGCCTGGGCATTTGGCAAGACTGCAAGCTCGGGTATAAAAATGCTGGTATCTCTCCTGAATACGAATTGCTGAAGTTGGCGATGGCAAGAACAAAGTGGTCTCAAATTCCTAAAATGCGCTACTTGTGGCGCATGTTGCTGCGAAGGTAGCAGGTCTGAAAACACCAACAAAATCAGCGAAGCGCTTGCCAAGGAAAGAAGGTGCGGAACTGCTTACCCTGTCCCGCTGGAAGGTCGTTACAGTGTACTTGAAAAATTCTAGCTTGCCTTCAGGGCCTGGCACCTGGAGGCATCGATCGCCTGAAAACGAAGTTTCTTGACCAGAATTTGAACGCGCGTCTTGTTCAGCGTATTGTTGAGTGCTGAAGGGTCTGCCTCAAACTCTGATGAAGACGTCGACCTTAGCTGCAAGTGCAGCGAAGCGGGGGGGGGGGGGGTCACAAACTAAAGCTTGGCCGGTCGACAATGCTCTGCCTCAATTTCTAGCTGATTTCTGCGCCCTTCGAGTGGACAACATAATTTTCGAAAAATCGCTCTGGGAAGCGACAATTTTAATGACGCGGAGGAAGTAGTAGTGTTCTCGGCATACTATATCCTCATCGTTCTCATTTGCCAAATACATGTCGTTCTATGTTTTATCGCTCGTATCTATTACCTATTTTCCAGTATGCATGCCAGTCTTGGTGTAGTCTAAGTCAACATCTTGTGAACAAACTTGAAATCCAACATAAATCTCTTCTTAAAATATTGTTTAACAAGCAGCGTTTATTTCCTAGTCTTGAGCTCTATTGTATCAGCAATACTCAGCCACTGCAAGATAATCGCAAACAGCAGCTTTGCGTTTTGATCCACAGAATTCGCCTAGGTAAAATTCCCATTCATCTCTCCGTATTCAATTGGTTTTCTCTGTCCCGGTCCACTCGTAATAGTCTCTCACTTCCCCGTGCTAATTCAGCCGCATTTACCAACTCTCCTCTGTTTTTGTCCTACAGCCTTTGGCTGCAACTTCCCCAGCATGTTAAGACATCAAAATGTCTTTCCAGCTTTAAAAATGCACTCCGATCGCATAATGTAGTACGATAGGATCTCATTGCTGGATTCTTGTCTATCCTTCTTTCTTCTCTTTTTCTATATTCCTTTCTTTTCTTTTCTTGCCGTGGTTGGCTATCACCCCTCTCTCGCACTTTGCGTGCCAATTGGTCATGAACCACGAGTTGAGTGAAATAAATAAATAAATAAATAGTAGCGTATTTTACGTAGTGTAAGATGCACCTTAAACAACAGGAATTCACCCAGAAAATGTCGGTGCTGCTTATACTACGATGATCAAAATAACGGTGATAAATGGGGTAGACATCTGTATTTCATGACAAAAAAATGTGGGTGCGGTTTATACTCGTACTCCAATGCGGCTTTATACTTCGGAAAATGGGTATGGATTATACTCCAGTGCGGCTTATACTCCGCAAAATACATTAGCCATTTTGGCATTGATAATTTAGCTGTGACGAGTCCTCGTACTGGCAATATTTTAGAGTTCCCTCACTTAGACCCATTTAAGGGACTTTCCCTGGTGAGTAGGTCTGAAAGGTGTCTACCGCTGGCAGCAGTATTTCAGTTTTGTACGGGGAGCTTTCATGTATGAAACAAATGGCTTAGAGAAGATACTGCCGCCTGTTGTCTTCACGAATAGGAGCAGAGCATTGCACAATACAATCATGCTCAGTTCATGGTGATATTGTAGAGCTACAGCCTACAAGTATCCGACTATGATGACATCACCATTACATCATTGTGACATAAGCATGACATCACCGTGCCCTTACGGGTGAGGTCCAGAGACGCCAGCGTCAGGTTGCCCATGCACCACTGCTTGCTTATGCAAACATCATGGCCTGACCATTACATCACCATTACATCATCATGACTCATAGCATGACGTCACCGCACCCTTACCGGTGAGGTCTAGAGATACCAGTGTCAGGTTGCCCATGCACCACTGCTTGCCATCTTGCGCAGCCACGTCGTCCAGCAGTGCGTTATACGGCTCGCCATCCTCGCCTGACTGCAGGACAGAAGCAGAAACGATCTGAGCCCTGTTGCGATAATGATGTAAAGGGCTGGTCACTTTTAAAGCGCGAATGATATCCTAGTTGTCACAAGGCATTAAGGGGGGGGGGGTAATGAAGCATGAAGCAACGTGGGGAAGGTCTGTTTCGAGTCGGAAAGTGACAGAAATTGCCAGCTTACTTCCATTTGAGGCAAGCAGGCCACGGCCTAGATTGCTCCACTGCGTAATGCATCGAGCACGGATCACGTTAACTTTTAAACCCAGGGCCAAAGCGCAACTCGGCCACATTATGTACCGTGCAATAATCTTGTCTCATCTTCTGAGTGCAATGACGTGGTGTTTCACTGGCATTCCATAGAATGGGAAGATCTCACAGAAAATGAGAGGAGGGAAAAGAAGTGAGCAACAGCTAAATCCCCCACAGCCAAAACTGTAAATAAAAAAGAAGAAAACAGGAGGCCAATGGCGGTCCACTACATGTAAAGTGCATCACGTGCTCATAATAGGGAGGTTTCGCTCTACGTAATTACGTATGAAAATCCGTATGTCGTATGCGCCGGGGAGCGAGGGCAGCTTTCATACGTAAATCTCTCTACGGAATTCCGTAGGAAAGCTCTTTCCTCCGTTGGGTCCTCCGTAGGACTTTTTGAAATATTTTTTCGCAGTTTCCGCATTTGTCCATGGCAACGTTCAAGCCGCGCGAAACACAAGGTACACACACCGTATACCACGTGCAAAATAAGATGGAAACGCGGTTTCGGTTCATGGTGCATGCGGTGGGCGCATGCAGCCAACGCGTCTCCAAAGCAACAACGCATGTTTAGCAGTCGTGGATAAATCACGTAGAGCGAAACCCAGCAGCTCTGATTTTTACGTATGAAAATACCGTGCAGTTCCTACGTTACTTTCATACGTAATTCCGTAGAGCGAAACCTCCCTACTATGCACATTCACACGGCTAGACGAAGCCGATTGGAGCAATGCCATCACAATGAATGACACAATGAAGAGCACAGGGAAATTGCACTACACGATGCAATGCATATCGGCATGTACGAGATTCCTGTTCTTGGTTCCCAAAACCCAAAGCAAACAAAAACAAGAGTGCGTTTGCATACCTTTCTTCCCTCCTTGCCGCTGAGCGAAACACCACTCTCGCTCATACTGGACTTCATTCTTGTTTTCTGAAGGCGAGATTGGTCACCTGCGGCATACAAACAATGGCAGAAAAACTTGTCAAGGCGACCACTCTGGTATGGCAACCACCTTGTCGAAAGATTAGAATTCCCAATCTCTCGATTTATCAACACAGGTCACAAGTCCGATCTCACCTCTACAGGTGGCACACATCATAGGACAAAGGAGTCTGTAGTAATCTGGTAATCGCTCTTTCCAGAATAATACTAGAGAACAACAAAAACTGAAAGCCACTCGTGTCCAAGAAACGCAGCATAACCCACCACCGTGGGAGAAGCAAAACACATTCGCAAAAGCGCGCCAAACTGTGCTGCATGCACGTGCCTTGACAAGTACATGTACAGTCATGCATACGTGGGCCAAAACAAGTCATACAAAGCACGGGAACGTGGGCATGGAACTAGCGTTTTGTACTGAAACAAGAACAGGCACAAACATGATACAAATCGCGCGACAAGGTCGCCGCGACACTCCAGCCGACCGGGAATGTACACCGGGAGGTAACTTATAGAGCATAAGCAATGCAGATACACACGCACACACACAGCAAGCAGTTAAACAGGCATACAGAGAGTTTTATGTGCTTGTGAGGTCACTGCCAATTGGACCAAGCACCACCTAATCCTCACACTCTGACACGGTCAAACTTATCAGGCGTGTGGGATGTGTACGTGCAGCAACGATACAGCTGTCCACTTTGCAATATTCTGCCGGGCCTTGTCAGCTGCCGCACGAGTTGGTCGCTGGGGGTTGTCAGATGCTGGTGCAGTAACTGGCACCTCACTTGCAGTTTCCGGGAGTTCCGTTGGGACTTGGCGACACTCAAGGCCGTACAATTTGCATACTGGTCGATTGACCTCCTTGCCTGTGCTGGTTATAATGCGGGCAGCCCGGACGGCGCCGTCGGTCTGGCTCTTCTCTAGTGCGACAACACGGGCCAGCTTCCACATGCATCTTGGAGCCGTCTCTTCGTCAACGAGGACAACTTCGCCCACACTAGGTTCCGGTGAGGGTTTGGGGCAATGTTGCCGTTTGGACGTGTGAGCCATCCGCTCTTGGAGCACTTGGAGGTAGTCTGTTCGCCACAAGCTCCAGAACAGTTCGCTTTGGGTCTGCCTGTGACGCCACTCGGTGAGCAGGGATAATGCCGGGTCGGTACTTGGAGGTGTATACTCGGGGTCATCCAGCGCAGTTGAAAGTGGCAGAGCAGCTGGACGACTTCCAAGGAGGAAGTGAGCAGGAGTCAGTATCTCGACATCCCTGCCCTCGTAGTCGGCGGTGACGGAGGTAAGGGGTCTGCTGTTGACTGCCGCTTCGGCTTCAGCTAGAAGAGTGGCGAGCTGATCAAGACGGAGGTGCTGACGCCCCAGTGCCTTCCGTAGGCTCCGCTTCACTAGCCCCACCATTCTTTCGTACACTCCTCCCTGCCAAGGTGCGAAGGCGGTTGTGAATTTCCAGGTGATACCCTGGCTGGTGAAGTAGTTGGCAACACCAGGGTCCGTGGCGACTGTGCTCCACAGCTGGTCGAGCACACCACTGGCTGCTTTGAATTGCGATGCGTTGTCTGAATACAACAGGCGGGGTACCCCTCTCCTGGCCACGAATCTCCGGAAACAGGCAATGAACTGAAGCGCTGTCATATCAATGACCCACTCGAGATGCACAGCACGTACCGCAAGACATGTCAAGAGGCAAACCCAGACCTTGGATGTTGTAGTGCCATCGGCTTGCTTCACCAGTATCGGACCAAAATAATCGAGGCCAACATACTCGAATGGGGCTGCTGGAACCACTCGTTCCTTCGGTAGGGCTGGAGGGGACGGCAGCTTGTACGGTGGTCCTTCATGCCTGCGGCAAACGGTGCAATTTCGGAGGATGGAACGAACCGCTCGGCGGCCCTGCGGCACCCAGAAGTTGAGTCGCAAATGGGCTAGCGTATGGGCTGTGCCGGCATGCAAGAGGCGGCAGTGAACGTCAGTAATGACGAGTCGGGTAAGCCGGTGAGTAGCTGGTAAGAGAGCCAGGGCCGGATGACCAGCCAATGCAAGTCGCCCATGACACTGTAGTAGGCCGTGATCATCAATGGCGACGCCAAGTTGTCCGCGGATGGGGCAATGGTTGTTGGTTGCGAAGCTCTGGAACACATCAGCAAAGCATTCAAGCTGAGCCATCCGAATGAGTACAGCTAGAATGAGACGCCGAGAGGCCGCATTGAGATGCGAAGATGAGGCTAGAGCGGTCAGCAATGAACAGAGGAGGGGGTGAGTGGTTCGTAGGCGAGACTGACTGACCGGCAACAAACGGGACCAGAGCCGCTGCTGGATGAAGTTACAGACGTAGAAGCTGATGCGAATAAGTCGCTCTAGCGATGACACCCGGTCACAGATAGTGGTGGCGATGGCAGGCCGTGACTGGGGGAATGCTGTGGCGATTAGCGTGGCACCATGCAACACCTTCGGTCCACGAACCTCAGTAGCAGCAAGTTCCATAACGTCAGGTGTGACGACTAGTTTCTGTGGCCACTGGGAAGGCTCCTGAAGAAGCCAGCGTGGACCCTTCCACCAGAGTGTGCTAGCTGTGAGTTGCTCCATTGTCTGAGGGCGTGTCGCCAAGTCGGCTGGGTTATCCAAGGTTGGTACATAGCAGTACGAGATTGACGTGTGGGAGCGCAACACCCTAATTCGGTTCTGGACAAAGGTTGACAGGTCACGTCGGGAGGCCAGCCAGTGGAGAACACACTTGGAGTCCGTCCATAACGTTGTGGACGAGATCGGCAGATGAAGTTGGTCATGGAGAAATCGGGATAGTCGAGCACCGATTGTCACACCAAGTAACTCCAGACGCGGGATGGTCAACGAAGCAGTGCCGCCTGCATCGAGTTTGGGCATCGGAGCCAAGCGCAACTTGCTGTAGATGAGTCCGCTGTGATGCACCTCACCAACGGAGATCCGTAAATACGCAACAGCAGCATATACCTCGGCTGATGCGTCTGTGAAGATGTGTAGTTGAACATCTGTCGCGGTGGCAACCGGACCACAGAGTCGAGGGACAGGTAGTGACGTAGCGGTTGACATCATAGTCGAGATAGCTGCCCACCTGTCGGCCAGATGTGCTGGTAGCGGCGAGTCCCAATCGAGCTGAACTTGCCATAATTCTCTCAGGAGGAGTCGGGCCTGAAGAGTGATGGGTAGTAGCAGGCCAAGCGGGTCATACAGGCTAGAGAGACCGCTCAGGATAGTGCGCTTGGTGACAGGCTGAGACGGACACCGCAGCATCTTACTCTCTGGGATGGTAAGAACATCGGCATGTGTATCCCAGAGGAGACCGAGAACCTTGGTGCGACGGGAGGTGAGAAGATCATCTTCAGGGAGAGCGGCACGAACCACGGCCGAGCTGCTGGTCCATTCACGTAAGTTCATTGACGCCTCGGCAAAGATACTCTTGGCCTGGTCGTGGACGGGCAATGCTTCTTCATCGGTCCGGACGCCAATGACAACGTTGTCGACGTAGATATTCCTGGCAATCGTTTCAGACAATGGCGACGGGTGGCGCTGTAGGTGATGGCGGATTGTGGCTTCCAATAGAAATGGGCTAGCAATTACACCAAAGGGCATTCTGCAGAACCGGTAAACCGCAAGGTTGTCCTTGGTCAGGTGAGGATTCGTAGCATCCCTGAGCCAGAGAAAACGTGTCACATCGCGGTCTTCCTTCCGGATACGCAGTTGAAGAAACGCCTTCTCGATGTCAGCAACAATGGCAACATTGTAGCACCGAAAGCGCAGGAGCATACCACAGAGGTTGGGCAGACGGATAGGGCCCCGGTGCATGCATTCGTTCAGGCTTTTCGACTGCTTCGTTGTCTTCGCCGAGGCATCGTAGACAATGCGTAGCTTCGTGGTCTGTTTCGACGGCGTTATAATTGGCTGATGGGGCAAATAGTGCTGTGGCGTGCCCGTAGGCGGTGGGTTCGCGACAGGCTCGATGATCCCCAGGTCAACTTGCGATTGGATGACCTTGTCGTACTGCTGTCGGAGGTCGGAATCATTGGCTAAGCGACGGCACAACGTAGACAACCGGCCAAATGCGAGGCCATAGTTGGTTGGCAGGTCAGGTGGTTCCGATTTCCATGGCCAGGCCACTTCGTACCGGCCACCAGTGAACTGGATGTGGTCCTGGAAATGGCGGAGCGCCAGGTCATCAGCAGTGACGTCGGGGCAGTCGTGGATGCCAATCCGATCCAAATTCCACATCTCGGTCAGATTGGGTGTGAGTGTCGACCGCGGCGTGGAATCCATTACTTGGAGCTGATGGGAGGCAAGGCGTACAGCGGTGTGACACAGCAGTGTGGATGTTTGGCTGGAGTCATCATGTGACGGAGCACAGCAGCCAGTAAGGATGTAACCCAGACGCGATGGGAGGAGCAACAGACCCGACGGCAACACGATCCGGTCCTGTTGAATAATGCTCCAGAAGTAATCCGTGCCGATTAACAGGTCAACGGATGCCTTCTCAGATGTGTCTGGAAGGTTGTCAGCCAGACTAGAAGATAGCGACTGCAGGAACTGTCGGTCTTGATCAGGAATTGCACTGCGATGGACAGGGTCGGTGATTTTTGGCAGAACATGGGCTGTCAGAGGGAGCAGGGAGCCATCTTGCAGTGCCAGCTCGAAGTCGACAACATTGGCCTGTAGTCGCTGCGGCCCACTACTGGCAAATGTGGACACGTGCAGATACTCCGTACACCGAACAGGAAGTCCAAGTGACTCCGCGGCGGAACTTGTGAGAAAGGTACGTTGACTGCCGCTGTCAAGAAGTACACGAGCGGAAAGTGATTGCCCGCCATTGTGGAGTGTCACCTTGGCCGTCTGCAGGTAGACGTTAGCAGTAGAGACACCGTGACCGGAAGCTACAGTGGTGGGGCTTCCCGGAGGATCTGAAGCGTGCTCTGGCTGCTGACTACCGAGGGGAGGGTTGTGGATAGCAGCTTGAGTGGTATGCTGGCTAGCGAACAGTGTTGGACAAATAGACGCGTGGTGGCGGTTGGTGATCTGACAGTGGCGGCATGTCCGTGCCCGAGTGCAAGCAGCAGCTTGATGACCCTTGCCAAGACACCGGAAGCAGCGTTGTGTCTTGAGAAGCTGGGCCTTGCGGGTTTGCTCTGTGCCGTACGCCAGACAGTCATCATGACCGTGGTTACCACCGCAGTAGACGCAGGGTGAGCGAAATCCAGAGGGCTTTTGTGATGCACTTGAGTGACGCAGCTGTGAAGGGGCCGGCGAGGTTGTTTGCTGTTGCGCTGCTGACACCAATAGAGCACTTCCGCTAGCAACATGATCAGATACAGCGGTCATCGGGTGGTCGGAAAAGCTGGAGCGTTGTTGGGCACGCTCATGCAGGGTGACGTACCGTTTGAGAGCCTGCATCAGTGTCTTGACGTCCCACACCATTGAGGCTTCAGAAAGAGGACGCCACTCCTCCAGCTTGGTGGTCACCTCGAGGGGGAACTTCGACAGGATCTGCTGGCTGACCAGGTTCTGACCACGGAGGGTTTCGCCCTGTGCTTCCAGCTGTCTGAGGAGGTTGTGAACGGTCTCCTGCGTGACCTTGATAGACGCCAATTGGGAGGACGATGGAGGGAGTTGTTGCAGGTGTCGGTAGAGCTTGGTGACGATGACCTCCGGCTTCCCATACTCCTCCCTCAGGGCTTGCAGGGCGATGGGATAGTTGTCGTTCGTGACCGCTAAGCCTGCAATCAAGCGGTTCGGTGGACCGCTTAACGCTGTGCGCAGATATGTGAACTTGGACACATCCGGAAGTGGCTGGGCGTCTACAGACGCAGAAAACATGTCCCAGAATGCGGGCCAGGAAAGTGTGTCACCACTGAAGGTGGGCACGGTCAGCTTCGGCAAGTGAATTGCTGTCACTGCTGGTTTGGCAGATGGTGGAGGAGGAGTGGCACTCGTGGCGGCACTACCCCCAGTTCGCACTGAGGTACCAGGCACCCTGGAAGAGGGTGATCGCTTCGGTTTACGAGATGTCCCGCCAGAAGACCGAGTGCCGGCGGAACTGGAACTGGACCAGTCGGAGTCACTGTCTGTATCTGATACGGGATCGGGTGTCATGGGAATGCGGAAGCGAACATTCGGAGACGGGACGACTGGAGTGGCTGGAGAGCCAGTAGCATGGACAGGACTAACAGCAGTCACAGGAGAGCTCGCAGGAGCGGAAGGTGGACCCTTGGAGTGGACCACCACTGCTGATGGGCTGAATGATTCGCTGGGCAAGGCAGCGGCTGGGGACGTCGTGGGGGAGGGTTGTGGGGCACTGGATCGACTCGAGTTGGCGATTGCCTCCAGTTCCGCATCTGCTGTGGCGAGTCCGGACGGGTTCTCCCTCTGTAGAACGGTACGTGCGTCCCTCAGGACTTCCAGGTCATCGTCGAACTCGAACTCCCACTTGTCGAGTTGCTCCAGGCGGTCCTCAACATCCGAGGAAGTCGCCTGTTCGGTCAGATCGCGGATTCTAGCCTGTGTGGCATTGATTTCAGCTGCAAGGCGTTCAGCCTGCTGCCAATCTCGTAGCAGGTAGTGTGGTGATGGAGCGTCTTTGGCAAGCTCCCGGGTTAAATTGTGGCGAAGGCGTGTGAGTCGTCGCTTCGTGTTTGCCCTACACTTTACGAGCTGGGCGATAGTCTCCATCACTCTGGTCGGAATTTACTAAATAAACTGAGGAAAATCTCTGGTCACTAAAGCACCATGTCGAAAGATTAGAATTCCCAATCTCTCGATTTATCAACACAGGTCACAAGTCCGATCTCACCTCTACAGGTGGCACACATCATAGGACAAAGGAGTCTGTAGTAATCTGGTAATCGCTCTTTCCAGAATAATACTAGAGAACAACAAAAACTGAAAGCCACTCGTGTCCAAGAAACGCAGCATAACCCACCACCGTGGGAGAAGCAAAACACATTCGCAAAAGCGCGCCAAACTGTGCTGCATGCACGTGCCTTGACAAGTACATGTACAGTCATGCATACGTGGGCCAAAACAAGTCATACAAAGCACGGGAACGTGGGCATGGAACTAGCGTTTTGTACTGAAACAAGAACAGGCACAAACATGATACAAATCGCGCGACAAGGTCGCCGCGACACACCTACTCTATGATTGAGATACGAGAGGTACCTGGTTCAAGTCCTGCCTGGGAGCGGTTTTTCCAGCCGTGCTGCTACCCACAGTCGACTGAGAACTTGTGGCCAGGCACAAGGGGTACATGGATGCAGCTAATGGGGTCGTTTTCGGCACTTGTGCCAGTGGTTGTGAGACTTATCCACTCACCCCCACCGTTATGCGCTGCATCTGCCGCTAGGGTTTATCGGGTGTTAGCGGCCGTCGTGAGTTCCCTTCGGGAACGGACACGATAATTTATTTTTTTATAATTTTTGTACTCCTTCTTTTTCTCAGCTTTCCCCTCCATAGCTGGTTAAAAACACCCACATCACATGTTTATTGGCATTACGTCATTGTGATTGAGGAATAATAATAATAACATATTGGATGATGGCTACACCGTGACTCAGTGCTTAGAGCATCGCTGGCCTCGAGCGAAGGTCCCCGGTTCGACTTCTGGTGGTGACAGTCAATTTTTTCTTCAGATTTTTTTCCCTTTTCCATTCCCTCAGCCAGTGAATATGGAATAACAATACATGCACCATACTTGTAAAAGGGATGTTAAGGGATGTTACTTCCAGCAAACGACATTGGATACGGAGGCCACCTGTCTACGGGACAACATTTGAAGGTCCATCCTACGTTGTAGAGCGGTCGGGGTGGTCAGGTGTCACGGTGAACTCTTTCTGTGGCTTTCATACACATGTACAAGTGCTTAGAGTTGTCTAACTTGTCCGAAGTTGCCCTTGTCATATGGTACCAGGTCTTGCTCTGCAATGAGCCACGCAAACGTACACAAACACTGCATTTTCCGGAGTATAAGCTGCACCCAGATTTTCTTGCCACGCTATACAGACATCCACCATGTTTATGACGGTGAATTTGACCATCATAGAATAATTGCACTGATGTTTTGGGGTGAATTATTGGTGTTTAACGAGCGGCTCGTACTCTGCAAAATACGGTACTTGTGCCTGAGTGACACCTGCCCAGGAACTAGCATACCCACATGGGAGATGCATACTACAGTCGTTCCTCTCTAATCCGCCACCTTTTGCTACGGCATTTTCTGCTGGATAAACAAGGGTGCTGGATTATCAAATCCTGCCCTCCAACCCGGCCCACATGTTATCATACATGTTTGTGTCGTACGTCAAAACGTAGGGATTTTCTGTGTCGAACCAAGTACTTTGTGGAATGCATGTCTATAACATACACTTGGGAATATCTTATGCACTAGCATAGGATATTCCCAAGTGCATGTTACATGTGTTGTGTATGTTACAATGGTCCCTGACAGTCTGCTATGTACAACTGCTGGATTAGAAAACCGAATTATGTACAGTTTGAGTGATTTGTTGCAGAAAATCGCTGCTGGAGGCGGAATTCAAGTGCCGGATTAAAGCGTAGAAAATGAACTGAAAAAATCCGTTTTGCCAGAAAGTGTGCTGGTTTGCAAGGGTGCTGGATAAACAAGTGCCGGATTAGAGAGGGACGACTGTATACGCTTTTACTATTGTCATGTCCTATCTCAATCTCAAATTCTCCCCATTATCGTTTGCAAATCCGGTGTTTCCCTCTTGGATACACATGTTATTTCCTCCCATGTATCGGCGCACATGAGTAACGATGAATCCGAGACCTTTGGTCGGAGGAGTTACTTTTGCCCCGCCCCCACTTCCATCCAATATGCCACCGCCCCCGCTGTGCAGCATCTGATGGTTCTGTGGTATTCAGTAAAAAATAGAAAATAAAAATACTCCTAACCCTGTTGTCCTGCAACGAGATTACAAGCAGTTGCCCACCTTTTTTGCCTTTCTCTTCCTCCTTCTTTTTCGCTACTGCCGTCTTGCCACCATCTTGGCCCTGGGTCAATACACAGAGACACAGCCAGTCTATCTGAACATCACAGGTAGGAAAGTCAACTTACATAGTGACATGTAATAGTGTATGAGTACTGCCGGCCCATAAGTTGTGACCCCCCCCCCCACCACCTACATCTACATCTACACCTGCATGTACCGTAAAGTCTGCTGCAAACGATCATGTCAGAGCAAACGCCCACCCGATGGGCCCAGCTGGTCAGTACTATTTTCGTCATTTTCAGGTCAACAAAGTTGTAGAAAAGAGGGCAACATCAAGGTTGAATGTGTACAAGATCGATTATAATCATTATGGACACAAGAGGCTATTACGAATTAGTGGGAGCGACTTCGGCATTGATTTGTTAGGAAAGGGTTCGCTCCCCACACTGCAGCTTGCGCGAAAAAGCGAAAAAAAAAAGAAGAAAAAAAAGAAGAAAAAGAAAAAACGAAAGCGCAGGCTCCAGTATGGGGAGCAAACCCTTTCCTAAGAAGAGACTATCATTATAATCATTATGGCCCCTTACAGGCCATGGCCTTAGGTGGCTGGCTGTGCTGCTAACCTTTTTGCCCTGTTTCCCAGCCAATACACTTTGCCTGCTCTCACGGCCACCGAGGGTGGGACTCTTGCTCTTGTGCTCCAGTGTCCTGCCACGTAGGCACGCGTGAACATACATAGACACGTGCACACACACGTGCACACACACACGCATGCGCGCGCACACACACACACACACACACACACACATGCACGCGCATGCACACACACACACACACACACACACACACACACACACACACACACACACACACACACACTATTTAACCATTTGACGCCCATCGCCAGAGGCGATGATAGCGATGCCACAGCAGAAGCCATAGCAACTTGTGCTGGGATTGCACCATTCAACAGCTTGCAAGGCTGAAGAATAGACCGCCACTATTCAGCCTGGTCTACACCACACAGCTATGAAGTGGGTGTTTCTGGCCAGCGAATCCTCATTTTTTGATCTTTTGTCATTTGTTTCCCGCACACACATCACACCACATGCTCCGGCATGCCCTGGCTGTTTGTAACCACCCAGGAGAATGAAAGAATAGTCAGGAGGAGTCTGAGAAAGAGAAGAAAGATGTGTGTGACCATAATCATCGGGAAACGAACCCGCAACCTATCGATTGGAAATCACTGCACATACCACTGCACCATATGGCACACACACGCACACACATACACACATATGCACACACACGCGTACACGTACACGCACGCACACACACACACACACACACACACACACAAGTGTACACGCACACACGTGTAT